TGCTTGTTGAGAGGTGGAACAATTTCCAGAGAGTGATCTTCACTGAGTACAAGCAAACGAAGAGAATCCGAGCTCAAGTGCTAGGACTCAAAGTCACAAAAGGTGAATTGGAATACGTCATGAACAACTTCAATGATGGATTGACCTCGAGACTTGAACGACAAACACTGAGGTTGGAGATCGGCACGGCAGATCGAGAGATTTGGCTATGGCCTATGGCCGGTGGCAATCCGAGCCCCTATGGCGCATTCGAGAGTTCAAGGCGGTGTGCACATCGAAGACAAGAAGACTTCCTACCAAATGAACCCTGGAGTCGGATACACTCTTGGAGGAGGATTTCATTGCACCACTTTTGACAACATCGCCCAAATCTTCAGAGAAGGACTACGTCCCGGAGGAGGAGGCGACCGCATCAATACGTTCTTCGTGCCATTCGCACCGTGGGACGTGCGAAGTCAGACGGTGCTGAGATTCAGAAAGATTGAACAAACTGATCTCGTCTACATCTACATCACGTACGATTCCATCGCCAAGTTCTCCCCTCGACTATCAGCAGACGGACACATTTTGGTCCAAGAGATAATTCCATTCGAATCATTCGATGCAGTTTGGTACTACGATTGGAAGGAAAAGGACTACTACCGTCTCATGATCACAAAGGGAAAAGATCAGCTTGTACTTTCTGTGCAAGGAGCAAGGAGGGTGGCCACCATTGAACGATTTGACAAACTCATTGGGAACATTGCCTGATGAATCATCACCCGATCTGAACGAACTTCGAAAGCTTGTCGATATCAAGACCGGTCACTTCAGTCATGCTCACAGATTATTCCCTGGACATCCGGATTGGAATGATGCAATATCACTTCTAGCAGTCACTCATCATCCCAGCAAGGAGGACCATCGACTATGCCCCGCATGTCTGATGGAGACCCCTGCATCACTATCGATTTGTGTGATGTGCAAAGGATTTTTGGTCAGTCATGGATGGAGGAAGCGAATCAAGATCACCGTGGCTACTGTACCAAATGCTGAATCACGTCCTCGAGAAGAAGATCTCAAAGACCATGTCAAGAAAGCATGGGAGGAAGTGAAAATCGATTTGACAGGTGAAGATGATGACGACGAACTGATGCAAGATGATGATGACGTCACCATGAAGAGTCCAGAACAAGAACCTCAACCAGATGAAGAAAATGATGATCAAGCCTCGAAGAAGGGCGACATCAATGATGAGAGAAGAGACTTCAGAGAGCAAGATGAGGTCGATAAATTTCTCAATGAGGAAGGAAAACAAACCGATGAGAATGACGATGAAGAGAAAGAAGACGGTGAAATCAACATTGAGGAGTACGAGGCCGGAGAAGCTCATGATGCAGTGATTGAGTACCCCAAATGGTTGAAGAGGGTTGAGTTTGGATCAAAGGTCCTACCAATCGAGCCTTGTACAATTGGAGATGCTCAGCCGGAGCTCATCAAAATCCTCCTGTTACAGATTGGGTTGCATATCGTCAGGATCTACAGACTATTCCAACGGAACTTCTGTGGAGACATTGAGACGGCATGGAAACACTTTCAACAGAACCAGAAATTCAGGATGGACCTGGATTCAAGAGTGCCATACCTAGGTGAGGATGAAAATGGTGAACTCATCGAACCAACTGCACAACAGATGAAGGAGCTATACCAAGAAATCGGCCGACCACAACAAAAGGACGACATCGGGGAAGAGGGATTCGTCAATGCATACTATGGGGCAGTGGTACTCAAGCGACTTCTCGTATATACCGTATATACCCTTGAATGTGGCTACACATATGAAGACTTGCAAAATATCTTCTACGACGAAGAGATGGAGAAACTGTCGAAACGTGACACATCAAGGGATGAGATGAGAAAGACCACAGCTGCCCGCGAAGCCCTTGACCGACAAGATGTCCTGGTCAGAAGAATCATTGCAGGTGCATACAGAGTGAATGCTGTTTATTTCTTCAGGAACGTCGACTTTCAAGACACAATCACACTGAACCCAGTTGACATTGTGTGTGCTCTTCGACCTCCACTTCGAAGAATATCAGTTTTGCACCTGATCCTTCAAAATGGCCGACAATTGCCACGACCTCTACTCCAGAGACTGTATGATGCAATCAATGACTACAACCACATCAAGCAACGGGATGATCAACGACCAAGATGAGGCATCCACATGACAGAAGCCCACCTGGTTGCGATTGCTGATACCCCGGTTCCCTCCGATCGTGAACGTGCTAACCCGGCAGCTGGCAAATCAAAAGCAGCCCCGAAGGCGGCACCGACACTGGGCAGAGTGTCAAAAGCGAAAGCATCATCATCAGCGACATGGAGAACCGTCGAAGCTGCTCCTCCGCCGAAACAAGCTCCAGTACCTCCGCCACAGAAAGGTGGAAAAGACCAAGGGAAAGGTGAAAGATCTTATTCACACCGTGGTGGCGACTGGAATCATCAGGGATACTATGGATGGGGATACAGACGATAAGTCGACATGACCTCTGCATAGGTCCTGATTGAACCTAGCGAAGCGAGGCAGCAATCATTGCTCGTGATTTACCTCTACTTCATTATGAATGATTTCTGAGAGGAATCTGAGCCGGCTAATTGATAATCACATATTTATTTGAACATCATTGCACGAAACGCTGAGTTTCTACGGCGGTCTACATCTCAACCGACGAAGGAACGGGAAGGTAAACTTCTAATTCCATAGTCATCTTCGTATTTCGATTTTTATTTTCATGCTTGAGTGGAATTCCATGCTGGCTACGCCACATCGGATGAACCTCAATGCTGTACATAGACTACGTCTTGTCAGCGTGCATGTGAACAGAACCTTTATTTTTTGGTAGAGATCGTAGCAAGCCGCCACGTAGATTTGAAGTTCTGAACGGACTTTAGCTCTCCGTAATTCAATAGATGAACAACTGCAGATGTAGTGGAATGATTTAAGGGCCACTCCTTTGCGCGTGACCAACAAAGTTGGTCATGCGTGGGGGGTGCGAATGGGAGCTGGGCTACAGTACCACATATACTCCCTTGTAAATGACCCTTAGTCATCCAGAGCCAAAGGGTTGCATCTAATGCCCCTTTTGGCTCAAGATCACTGCAAGCTCTAAGGGAAAAAGACAGCCATGCCGAAGCCGCGAATCCTGGGTCATCACTGGTGAAAGCATTCACATTCTGGAACTATCAAAAGCACATATCGGGGAGAGAACCTCCGATTCACAGAATATATATATAATGAATATATATATATAATGAATACATATATATATATTATGAATATATATATATTATGAATATATATATATATGGTATAGATATGATGATGATGATGATGACGATGACGATTATTACTAACATTATTCTTATTATCATTGCTGTATAATCCGTAGTATTCTATCATATGCACCAGACATCATCTCAGAAACGAAACTGCTTACTTATTTGGGTGTTTTTCTTCTGCTTGAGTTATTCCTGGATCATTTGCAGGCAATGTGAGGCAAGTGCTAGTGGCCGACATTCCTGAAGTGGCTGCAGCAGTGGATTCTAGAACAATCAGCAAGTGGTTCTACAACTGTTCATATCGAAATTCTGTAGCCAAGAGAAGAAAACATGAACTTCGACCAGGTTACTCTCCGAGGATCAAACATTGCAATGGACAATTCCCATTTTCGTTCGATGATCTACCCTTAAACTACCAATCTAGTTTGGGGATTCCCCAGCTAGTCGCTAGCAGCTTTAGGCACCAGGCAGCTTAACATTTCCACCGCTGCAGCTGGCGTGCCCGACGCAGCCCGGTCCGGGGCAACTCGTTGAAGGCCGCCTAATCCACCGTGCCCAGCGCGTGGTAGCCACAATCACCTCACCACTAGCTGTTCTACCAAACAGTGCGGGATACTGTAAATCTATGTAAATCTGAAGATAGAAACCCAACAATGGCCATTTGGAGCTGTAAAATTCATCGCGATTTGGGGTTCAATTTTTTTCCAGGGTTGCCCAAGATATTGCTTCCCTTCCAAACACCCACCGCATCAAATCGCTTCGAAAACGCACTAACGACCCCAAAATGAATGATTTATGGCAATCATGTCCCATTTCGGCAGTGGATCATCCCCAACCACCAAACAAAACCGTTGCGTCACCACAAGCACTGCGTGCACGGCAGTTAGCATCGGCGGTTCACCAGCACGAGCCGTGCAGGATCCGCCCGTGAGGTTGTGTTTCCGCGAGGTCGGAAAAAAACACCCTGCGTGCCCACGGCAACGAAGGGCACAATGCTTGAAGGGTATCGTACCATATCGTACCAAGTTTTGCGAGTATAGTGATACAAATCCACTCTAAAGGTCACAAAAAACAAGGATGGCAAAGTTAGCTTTAACTTAGAATTACCATATCATCAGAATCAGAGATCTCAATGGCAGTTGTTTGTGGGATGTTTCTTTGGTGTCTTCTCATACAGTAGACAGTACGCAAGTGCGGACATATTTCTTAGCCTTGGAAAACGATTTCAGAAGTTTATTCCTCAAGAGTTCCTTCCACTTGTTAGGGATAAGGTCTTGTGTGCCCAACTCATTGCATACGGATTGGTGGCTGCGGCTGGACTGCAGCAACCTGTTTCCAAGCCAAATTATGTCTCGCTTTGGAAGTTTAAGAAACCAGGAAACTATGGAGTTTTACATGCTCTTGCCATCAACTATAGGGAGTTCCCTTGAATTTTCCCTGCAACCAATTTGTGTCTGGGGGAAGTGTGAAGAAGGAGGTCGTCATGCGAGATGATACATGATGAGAAACTGAGGAAATGATCAGAGATATCCTATCAAATCAGCTTTGGGACTAGATGAGATTTTCCCTGAAGCTTGGTGCTCCCTCCCCAGAACCCTGGATGAGTGGTTCCCGCCAGATTTTGGGGGTTTCTCCAAAATTCTTGGAACTCTCTGCCGCGAATCTTACTTTTTTGCTCCAGAGAAAGGGGTCCAGAAAAAATCGCAGCGGGGCGAACGATCACCCACGTCGCTGCGGCCCAAGGGGGTCACAAGGGCTGGTGAGTGGAGCGGAACCATATGTACATTGTGTCAATCTGACCTGGCGGAAAAAAAAACCGCATTTTTATCCATTTATAGATGGTTCTTGTACACAAATCAAGCATTTCCAAGGACGGTAGAGAAAATCTTCCCCAAGCTTGCAGCTCAATTGTTGAAATCCGCATTCTTCGTGGGGTTGCGCTGGGTTCCCATCTATTTTCAGCAAATTCTAGCATGACCAACATCGATTTCAGTTGCTTGAACAAACGCCAGATACATCTTGTTTCAACCATGCAGGTCCTTTCAGGACTCACATCTCTACTTCAATCCACTCTTAACATCTACTTAAACTCCATTTCAATCCCAAAACATTCCGTTTCAATCCACTAAAACTCGATTGAAATCCACCAAAACTCCATTGAAATCAAAGGTTTCTTGGTTACACCAGCCATTTTTTCACAAAACACCGGTGACTCAACTGAGGCATGGCGACATCCACAGGATTAGAGCCCCTGGTGGAGACGCAAATCTCCGTGGTGACCAACGATGGCCGAGTCTTTTGGCGACATGTAATGGATTTGGGAAGTCTAAGGAGTTCGTCATGCTTCAGACTTGTGTTCGTCTGTTGCACTATTTGATCAAGGTTACCGTCAATAACACTCACATATGTTGGAGGATGTTTGGCCATGTTGAACGTTTTTTTTAGCACTTATTGGCATATTGGGCACTTTTTAGCTCCGTATGAGGCTATCTTGGCCCCATATGAGGGTATGTTGGCTATGTTGGCCTCATGTGAGCCTATCTTAGGCTCATGTTGGGCCTATGTTGGGCCTATCTTGACCCATTTTTGGCCTATATTGGCCCAGATCAAGAATTTTGACCCCTTTTGAAAAACATGCAAAAACACAGGATTCTAGAGCAAAAATGCCCCCCCCCCAAGCTAAAGCTTATTAGCTATAATGCAATTGCTAACGGTTCACGCAGGCACACAAAAAACGCCTCAGCACCTTCAGTGCGGGCGGATTTTGGTGAGTTTTTGATGATTTTGGAGGGATTCTGGGGGAGGCTTTTAATGATTTTTGATGGCGCTTTGAACGATCGTTTTGGTGATTTTTGATGATGCTTGTAATTTCAGTGTTGGTAAAGCAATGATAAACCAGCCAAATGGATTGATGGTTTTTACCATCCATTTATGGCAAAATTGGCGATGGTTTACTAGTTCTTTGCTAACATTAATGGATTTTGGTGATTTTCGAGGGATTTTGGGATGTTTGAGGGTTCTTTGGCGTTTTTTTGTAGGCTTTTTGGAGCTTGTTTTGGGGATGATGTGAGGGATTTTTGATATGTGCTTTCGTCATCGGGCATTGTTGGGGATTTTTGCCGGATTTTCAGGAATTTTGGGAAGATGTTCGAGCAATGATGAGAGATTCTGAAGCAACCGTCGCAGTTTCACGAAGGAATCCTGTGATCTTCAACTTGATACACTGATACAGCTGGCGGTTACCAGCAAAAAGTCGAGGTTCAGGCTAGATGACACGATGGATGCAAAATAACCTGGCAATACCTGGGAAAAATGGAATAGGTGCTTACAATTTGGACCTGCAATGGACAAGCTATTCCTCAACAATGACAATCTTGACCAAGATTCCGAACATTGTTTCCTTTAAGTGTTCCCTTCAACATCCTTTCTATTGTTGACGGTCCTTCATCCCCTTATACTGTATCTTTATGTGCTAAATATCGCTAAAATCGATGCTGGATGATGCTTGGTGATCCCTCTTGGACGATTAGAGAGGGATGTGAAAAACCCACGAAAAATGCAATCCCTTCCCCTTTAAGAGTTGGATCTTACCCTCTGGTAATTTAACATAGCTGACATAGCTATTGAAAATGACCATTTATAGTGGATTTACCCATTGAAACTGGGGATTTTCCGTAGCTATGTTAGTTTACCAGAGGGTATCATTTCCATTTGGTAAAGGCTTTACACATTTCCACACATGTTCCCGATGAATTTCCAGCAAAAGCCCCCTTTAAATCCCATTTGGACCACCATGTGTTGGTATTTTATAGCTGCAGCAACCCTCAAAACGATGCGAAAAAGGGTGAAATGCATCATTCTTGTATTGGATCTTAGTAGTTAACATATCTATATATCTATATATATATATATATCTATATCTATTTTTGGATTGATTACTTAACTAATCCCATCCGCCATACCTTCCCCCATTTTCAACTCCCGTGCCGCCGTGCCGCCGTGCCCAGCTCTTCGTGGGGACGCTCCGCGGTTTTGACCAAAGCTCCAACGTCGTGCTGAGCGACTGCCAGGAGCGTGTCTTTGACACCGACAAAGGCGTGGAGCAGGTGCAGCTGCTTCTCCCGCAGCTGCTTCGGGGTGAGTTACCCTCTGGTAAACGTTTACATAACTATGGAAAATCACCATTTTCAATGGGTAAATCAGCTATAAATGGTCATTTTCAATAGCTACGTTAAATTACCAGAGGGTATCCGAGTCCAACCGGCAGATTTCCCTTTTCTAATGGATAATTTTTATGGAACATCATCTTTTTTATGCCAGATTACACTAGAGATTCAGAGGGTAAATGGCGATTGAAAAATGGGAAATTTCCAAGAATTCATCATTGGAGGATGGTTGGAATTGATCCAGCAAAAATGAGTGTCTAGTCAAGAAGAATGTAGGATTCAAGCTGCCAAAACATGGGCATTTCAAGCCTAAACATGGGGGGTTTAGCAGTTTAGCCTTCACTAAGAGCATTTTAGATTTCATCGGCAAAAAATGTGATGATGAACAAGAAGAAGATTTGCAGCATGCTACGGACACCTACACGAAGGCGGCTGTTGGCGTGTGAAGCCGCGGTGAAGTTTTGTCGCCAACAAAGACTAGGAATTGAACCATCCGAATTTCACCAACAGGTGGGAAAATAGAAGCCTAAAAGTTTGTTGAATGTCATTGCCCAGTCGTGGCTTACAGGTATATTATATTATATACTACTTCACGGATGTACATTCAACCCATTCAGTTGCATCCAAGACTACAAAGTTCATTATCACCTCAGTTTAACACTCCCAGCATTGGTCAACTGGAAGGTTTGCATAGGAGTCCATAAGATTTGATGTTTAAGCACCATGGTCTTCTTATAGGACTTCCTCCTTTTGAATCAATCCACATTGCCGATTCGTCTTCCTAGAATTGTCGGTTTCACCGTTTCACCTCCAATTTTTCATATATTTTCCATATGTTTTCTCCTCACCTATCCCATATTCCCATATTTTCCCATATGTTCATATGGAGGTTTCCTAAAATGGGGGTACCCCTGGTCATCATCCATTTTAGATTTTGATTTTCAATTGAAACACATCCAGCTCTTGGGGTACCCCCGTTTATGGAAACCCCCATCTGGTCCGGGGGCTGCCAGAGGTGGTCCTGGGGCTCTACGTCATTCGTGGAGACAACTTAGCACCTTGACTTCGGTGACCGTTGATGACCATCCGAAAAACCATCGAAGCATGGGAAGAATGGGATGAATGGGACTATCATTATATGTTAGGAAGATGTGGATTTTGGAAGGCAGCGAAGCTTCATTTTGGAATTGTATTGTTTTCTTTTCTTTTTTTTAAGATGGGATTTAATATCATGACATATGTTATGATGTTTTTTTTGTTTAATGGGATTTCACCAGCAAAATGGATGAGAATGTCCGACCGGAAAGTCATTGGGGATGGCGGCGATGGCTATGGCGGCTATGGCGCTGGCAGTTTTCAGTTTCAGCCTCTCCTTCTCCTTTTCCATCAGCATCAAGAACTCAGAAAAAAATGAGAATGATTGTCCTAGCAATGGCAAAAACCAACAATGCTTACTGTCGTCGTCGTCATCATCATCATCATCAGCAGCATCAGTAGTTTGAGCTTCAACATTTGGGTCATGCTTAACCTGTCCTCAGTCTTCCATTTTCCTACCTCTCCAGGACTCCAGGCATGGAAGGCAATCAACAAAGGGAGATTTACGGAGATCTATGGCGGGTCACCAGCTCCACGAGCCCCATAAACATGGCATTTTATGGCCATTGCCATCAAAAATCAGAGAATCATGAGCAACAGTTAGCTTCAAACCAAACATACTTCAAACAAACATCGAAAAGAGAAAACAACAACCCAGGTATTTTACGCCTATATAATGAATTGTTTATTAAACAGTGAAATCAAATATCATATTCCTGGGATATCAATGGGATATATGAAACATTATATCACTATGGAGGTTTCCTAAAATGGGGGTACCCCTAGCCATCATCCATTTTCGATTGGAAATTTCCATCACACACCAACTGTTTTGGGTATCCCCATTTATGGAACCCCCCATCAATGGGATATTGGGATATATAAAAACATTTTTCATCAATATCCCAATATATATATATACATATAATATATATATATATTCCAATATCCCATTGGAAGATATATTCCAATATATCAGGTTGATAAAGAAACAACAACATATCATCAACATGGCATATGTAATTTTGATATATATATAAACATTCTATCACTGTTATATATATACACATCATTATACATCCCAATACATTGTTTATATAAAACATTCTATCAATTACATATGCCATTTATCAATTACATATACCAGGAAACATATATGATATTTGGAATACCTATTTTCAATATATTTGGAAAAAAACCCATATTAAGGAAAACTATGTTTGGAAAAACCCCAATATATTTTGGAAAAACCCCATATATTTGGAAAAACCCCATATTAAGGAAAAATAACCCCATATCATCATTTTCCTGGTTATTTTTCCACATATTTTCACTCCGAGGCTGTGGTTGGTGAAGTCGATGAGGAGATCGACTCGCGCATCGACCTGTCGTCCTCCCGGCGTGGTGAACCACCAACGGTGGAAAGTCCCAGGGAATGTTGTTTAATGAACTCTACCCTCTGGTAAACTAACAATTTGCTATTGAAAATGGCCATGGAAATAGTAGATTTACCCATTAAACATGGTGATTTTCAAACAACAAACAACAAACAACAAACAACCACCACCACCACCACCAACAACAACAACAACAAGAACAAGAACAATAACAATAACAAGAACAATAACAAGAACAACAAGAACAACAAGAACAACAAGAACAACAAGAACAACAAGAACAACAAGAACAAGAACAAGAACAAGAACAACAACATCAACAACAACAACAACAACAACAAGAACAAACACAAGAACAAGAAGAAGAAGAAGAAGAAGAAGAAGAAGAAGAAGAAGAAGAAAAAGACGAATAATAATATTAATAACAACAAGAATAACAAGAAGAACAAGAAGAACACGAAGAACAAGAAGAACAAGAATAACAAGAAGAACACGAAGAACAAGAAGAACAAGAAGAACAAGAAAAACAACAAGAACAAGAAGAACAACAAGAACAAGAACAACAAGAACAACAAGAACAACAAGAACAAGAACAACAAGAACAACAAGAACAACGACCACAACCACAACCACAACAACAGCAGCAACAACAACCACAACCACATCCACAACGACAACGACAACGACAAACTGGCTATGAGCAGCAAAAATGGTGGTTTATGGGGATATTCCTAGGAATGGAGAGATTCATTAACAGGGAGATCTAGGCCTGAAACTGGTCTGGCCAAAAAGAGCATACCCCTGAACTAATTAAGTGATCATCATTTTCCCTATGGGCATGTGAAAAAGTTAATGATGTGACCTGCTTGCAAACACACCCATATGTGCCATCTTCAAATTGGACTTCAAACCATGGTGTATTTTCCGCAGAGGGTTGGTCATCAATCCATTCATAGGGGTTAACATTCCCATGATGTTTGGATTCCCATGGAATGCCATGAATGACCAGGGGCCCCATTCACCCCATCTAACTTAGATGGATGTCTTTGTAGTGTGACAAATTGGTTTCTCGCTAACCCGGATTTGGCTTCGAGATGGATGAGACAGATAATAATTATATATATACATATGGGTAAACTATAGTAAGGACCTCATTGCGACCTCACTGGAATAATGGTTAAAAAGGGGAATTATCCCAATATAGTCTTATTTCAAGTTAGTGAATCATTTCAATTTACCCGTATATATATATTATTTATTGATATAATAGAGCACATAACACACACGCACACAGATATATATATATATATACATATATATATATACATACACACATACATATTTATTTCATGTAACACAATACAAACCATATACCACAATATATATATATATACGTATTATACTACTGGACATCGACATTCGCATGAGAATCATGATGACCATGATAATAATTCATGAAATTCACAAGAACGATCACGGCGATGATTATGATGAATACGGAGAAGAAGGCACTCCCTTCGTTCTCTCATCGAATATGGTCAGAATCATTGTGAGTACGAATATGATACACCACACATTATATACATGACAGGCATATATATATAATTACATGTATTTATATATATATACACATAGGATCCATACATGTATCATCATATATTCATGATCTCCAGTTGGCCAGGAATATCCGGGCTGCACCGCTGAAGCCTGTGGTCCATTGATCGGTGGCTTGGCTTGGCAATCGCCGCCGCCAGGTTTCGCGCGCTGCGAAAAGGCATGCGGTGCCAGCGTTGCGATGGCAGCGGTGATGGGGATGGGAATGGGATGAATACACTTAATAAAAGGTATACCTTAATCGATGGGGATAGTAACATTGACCTGTATTATAACATTGACCTGTATTAGTTGTTATGATGATAATAAAAGGTATACCTTAATAGAATCTATCATGGTCAAACGGAAATGAAACCAAAAGTTATGTCCAGCAAAAAATGCAAATGCCATGCTAGCCAGTGCTTAACAACTCTTGCAAGCAAAATAAAACCCACAACTAATCAATGCAAACAAGAACGCAAAACCAGAATAGAATCAAATCCACCGATGAAAACACATGCAAGAAATATGTAGATTCACAATGTAAAACGAACGCGCCATACAAACAAAATGCAAACCAAAGTTGCAAAAAAAAACACAAAAACCAAAAACGAACCCTCCCCAATCCCTACCAGGGACGCACTCTCATAATAATAGATGGGGATAGTAACATTGACCTTTACGAATTTTTCTGATGGGGATAATAGAAAAAGGGTATAGAAGTAGAAGGTGAATCCGTTGAATTATGGATCTGATCAAAGTAACATTGACCATCATTGATCTGTGCCACTGGCGGCTGGCTGTGGGTTGAAGTTCAGGTTTCACAGAAATGGAGGTTTCGTGAAATAGGGGTACCCCCAAATCATCCATTTTAATGGTATTTTCCATTATAAACCATCCATTTGGGAGTGCCCCCATTGATGGAAACCCCGAAATATATCTGGATGAATTATAAAGACCTCACGTCGTGACGTCACTGGAATGATGGGAATTGGATTCAGGAAATCGTCCCCAATGGTCTCATTCCAGCTGGTTTCAGGTCGGTGAATTACTATAATTCAGCTGTGTGTATGTATATATATGTATTGTATGTTGTATGTATATGTACATATATATATATACACGTATGTATGTATTGTATGTTGTATGTATGTATATATATATATGTATAATTATATATATATGCATATATATATATGTATATATATACACATGTATACAAATTTATATGTTGTACATATACATATGTGATACAAGTCAATAAATATATGTGTATACATATATATATATATATGTGTATACATACATAATATATATATATTGTATAGGAGCTCAATGTGGTTTTAAACATGCAGATGCACATTGTATCTATGCACATGTACATTGGTCTGGAATTTTGCAGCAATTGTGATAATACATGAAAGAACATCAACAATGTGGCAAGCATCTGTGGGGTTCACCTTATTCAGTTGGTGTTTTTTCGTCGAAATTTTGGTGTTCCCAGCTGTGCAAGAAACTTGTGACTAGGTGATGCTTTGTTTCTTCAGGAAACTGCTTCCATTTGAGTCAACATAGTGTTCAATGTTGCAATTAGATGGTGTTAGAGTTTGATTTCAGATTGAATGGTCATTGCATCCACGCTGCCCAACGTTCCCACTGTCCCTTCATGCCTGGCGGTGGCTCAAGCTGTGCTCAAGCTCGACGCTGCGGCGCCGCATAGCGTGTTTCTCCAGGCAGCAGGGGCGAAAGGGGACAACCAATGGGTGTGGTATGGCTTAGAATGGTTTAGGTTTCCCAACGTCGTATATATATATATATATATATACATACATACATACATACATACATACATACATACATACATACATACATACATACATACATACATACATACATACATACATACATATACCTACCTACCTACATACCTACATACCTACATACCTACCTACCTACCTACCTACATACATACATACATACATACACACATACACACACATACACACACATACACACACATACACACACATACACACACCTACACACACCTACACACACATACACATACACACACATACACACACATACACACACATACACACATACATACATACATACATACATACAGACAGACAGACAGACAGACAGACAGACATACATACATACATACATATACCTACCTACCTACCTACCTACCTACGTACCTACCTACCTACCTACCTACCTACATACATACATACATACATACATACATACATACATACACACACATACATACATACATACATACATACATACATACATACATACATACATACATACATACATACATACATACATACATACATACATACATACATACATACATACACACACATACACACACACATACACACACATACATACATACATACATACATACATACATACATACGTACGTACATACATACATACATACATACATACATACATACATACACATATATATACTGTTGATGGCACCCCGGCCCAACACCAAAGTCAGAAGCCCTGCTTCTCTTTCACCACGCCAATGGCTCAGATGCCCGCCACAGCCCGCCCCTTGACGAGCCGAGACACCATGGTTTGCATGGCAGAAATGGTTGGTGCAATGACTCACCGCTGGATGTTAATGGAAGCAACAGGAAACTGAGGGAGTTTCACACACCCCTTAGTCTGAAAAATTGTTTTGCCAACCCAGCTGCAAGTGGTCATTGCATGGCCTTTCGACCCAGGCCAAAAATCCTTCTCACCCCACGTCTCCCCAGATAAAGTCTTACCCACCGTAATCCTACCCACATCAAGATCACGGATATCAACAGGGCAACCTTGAACCCCAATGGGAGAAAACAGCCTTTTTCTGGGTATGTAGTGATGTCGGATGACCTGGCCTTGACCATCAACTTCCCACACATCAGAAACTTCCAAAGCAGAGTGTGCAGCACAAGTATTGGAGTCCGCAGTGACTTCCTTCGCCCATTTCAAACGTTGCTTCTTGTCAGACCGCTCCTGGAGGATCCTCCCCTCATCAAAGAGTGAATAACGCCCACTACGTAAACACTCCCGCAAAACTGTCGCATCCATGCTCTTTGTCAGACAATCAGCCAATTGGGCATTTGATGTCACCCACCGGACCATGCAGTTGGCCTGCAGTCTCTCACGAATTAAAAGGCACTCGATGGTTGTGCGGTGTTCCTCACATTGTGGTATGGCAGTACATGTCAAAATGTCGTAAGCACTCTTACAATCAGTCACTAGTGCTGCCTGCCTAGCTCGCTGCAATGCCTCTTCCGGGTCCCTCCAATTTACCCCAGGATTGTTGAGCCATTCCCACATGAGTCTTATCCACAGCAACCTATCGACTGTGCCACTCAACGCTATGGCCTCTGCCCCAAGCGTGCTACGTGTTACTCTGTGGATCTTTTTGCTGATCCATGCCACAGGAGCTACTACCGTTTTCTTGTTTTCAAGCAGCTCAGGTGTCGTGGCAAAAATCAAACTTCCTTGATGGGCATATTTTTCTTTGCCGGACAGGAAAGAAGCATCCGAAAAGGCACAGAAAGACAACTGTGAAGGTGAAATAGGAACTGTCATAAGTGTCACCTGGTTTACCTTTGCCTCATGCAACACACGATTCGCACCTATCAGGTCCTGAACTGTTGCCTTCGGAATGCTAGATTGCAATTCACCTATCTTTGCCGACAGATCCGGCCGAGTGTGGACGGCTGCGTATTGCAAGGCTCCAACAATGCTCCTGAGTTGACTGGTCTCTTCAGGAGTGATTGCACTTGTTCCCTGAAGCCTACGAGCCTTGGAAATTTCCAATGGAGCAATCTTTTCAATGTAATCAATTTGATCATACTCCACACTCTTATCATCCCATTGACGGAACCGGATGCCAGTGAACGTGAATGATCCCTTTTCAAAGGAGCCAAAACTGAACTTCTTACGAATCCTACCTAGGGTTTCTACAAACTTGGCATCTCCACCCCCAATTCCATCATCCACATGGATCCCAAGAGACCCATGGATTCGGTCTTTCCCAGAGGAGTCCTTTGAAACAAGTGTAAACACACACGGATCCATGGGACATTGGCGAAAGCCTTCTTGAATCAGGGTATCCCTAAACTTGCAAAACCAAAGGTATGGAGCATCAACCCTGCCATAAGCACCACCAACAAGCTGACAAGTTTCTCCTTCCCTCATTTCAAGGGCTTCCGCAAGTTCTGGGGGCGGATGGATTCCTAGGAGTCTACCATCGCCATCGCCATGCAGAAACGCTGTAGAGATATCGAATGATATCAGTTCCCAGCCATGACTACTGACCTGCTGAACAACCATTTGTCTCCCATCTTTGGAAAGAGTTGGACTGTCGTTCTTAACCACCCCTACACCAGGATCCTCAAAACCAACAACAACCAATCTTGCCTTTGCCTTTTGTCCATGGGCGACATCTGCTGGATTGTCCGTAGGTGAAGCTCCTTTCCACGATAAAATCCATCTGCAGCGCATGATTGCTGACTCTGGGATTTTACCCTTTGCTGCCCGACGCACTGTGGAGTGTTTCAGCCAAGCTCCAATTTCTTTGTGTTTTGCAACAGCCATCCTAAACTGGTCTGGACTTTTCAGAGAGCTCAGCTTCACTTCCACTTTTCGCTTCTTGGTGTCGGAAACCAGCAACACACTTTCGTCAGCCGAACTCGCGCAGAGAACCGGAACCTCTTGTTTTGTTTCCAGGGGTATTTCCATTTCCCAAACATCACAACTAAAACCCTCAAATTCCACATCATCCCCAAACACCAAATCGCCCCCTCCATCACATAACAAACCATCCTCCTCACTACCATCATCACCACTAAAATCACCATTTGGGATAGGAATTTCAAAAGGTTCCATGGCCTCAGAATCAGATTCAGGTACTGGAATCTCTCGGGGACTGAGTTGTTTTTCAGCCTCTTCTGGCGTCTCCGACTGGGGAGGTGACCCTGCTGATTGTTCCCCATCAGGTTCCCCAACGGACTGTTCAAGAATAGATGGATCATACCCCTCTGACACTACTTCATCCTCAGGGATTCCTTCACCCTCCAAATCAATGAACCCACCCCCTTTGAGATTCTTGGAAAATACTGACGCCGGAGATTTGCCCTGCGCTGGTGACTGTACACTGCTCTGTTGCCATTCTCGGAAGCTGGCAGGACGGATCTGCTCTGGGCAAGCTCGCACGAGTCTACCACTGTGATTCAACCAAACATTTCGGGTTCCCTCAACAGCTACAACACTAGCCGGACCAAACCATCGACCCCTCTCCCTCTTCAAATTTGCCCCCCTTCTATGCCAATACAACACCAAATCCCCTACTTCATATGGTCCTCTCAGTGGTCGACTCCGGCGCAACAGCGCTCGTCTTAAGCTGGAAGAGTTGTCGGCATCGATGAATGCCTTCCGAGCCAAACAGCGCCGCTCCAATGCCACACGAAATTGATCACTGGCCGGCCCCTCATCTTCGGCCATCGAGAGACTTCCAACACTGGCATCGGATGTGAGAGACCCTGGCAGCCGCCGAGATATTCCAAGCACCGCTTGTTCTGGGGAATATCCTTTAATCCTTGACAAACTGTTCTTAGCATTAAAGGCCTGAATCAAGGACTGTTCAAATTCCTCGGCTGTTCGAATGGGTTTCTCTGCATCCATTTTGTCCAACATCTTCTTTACAATGGATCCGTGAATCTCAGCACGGCCCAACTGCCAGTGAGCTGCCCCTACAGTCATTTTTATATGCACATCCAGTGACTGCATGGTGTCTTGCCAGAGCCCTGACTTATATTCTGTGGCCGGATCAACATACACTGTTTGAGGTGGACCTGCCCAGCGAAGCCAAGTGTGTCCAAACGTTTTGACCTGTGTTTCAGCATCCGTGTTGTTGACAGGAGCACCTAGGTGAAACAGGGTTCCCTCATCAATAATATGAGTGAAAGAAAACTGTTGACCAACTCCATTTGTCCAAACCGCAGTGTCCATACCAACCACCTGATGAAAACCAAGGTCCTCATGAATGACTGCCGGACGGGATGCTTCGAAACCACGTTTGGATTCTGTACAGCTGTCGCATTGAAAGTCCAGTGCACCTTGAACAATGTTGGGATCAGCATGCCGTTCTTTCAGAAAGCGAACAAACTTCTCTGGAGAGGGATGACCCAAATTATGATGAAGCCTGCGAAGTTGGGCCTTTTCCTCACCGGACAAAGAAAGGAACCCGGGACCATGTTGGGCTATTCCACGAGGAATTCCCTTCCCCGGAGTCGGTTCCATATCATCCCCAATGACTTCTTCCCCTAACCCTTCGAGGTTCCTATCTTCCCGGCTACCATTTTTGTCCTCCCCAGTTTCAGAGTTTTCTAGGGGACCACCAAAAATTGTCAAACTGACTTTCGCAGGCTTCCCTTTTCTAGTTTGTTGATACTTTGGCAGCTTCACCCATTCCTCAGCAGGACCTAGCACTTCAGCCTGGCCTGTGCTGCGATCTTTGACCACAGTCACTCGAAAGGGAATCTCTGATCTCTCAACTCCAGACTCAGGAACACGGAGTTGTTCTGTTCCGCGGCACACTTCAATCCTGCGCACCTTGAAACCAGGTACCCCCTTTTGAACCACAGCTACTTCATCCCCTTCGGTGAACACCCTTTTTCCTACCCTGGGAATCTTGGAGTTGATTTGATCGAAAACCCCATTCCAAAACTCGCCATGAGCACATCCAAATGGCCCACGTGGGGGCTGCTTGTGGCCATATTTTTGACGTTTGGCATCAGGATCAGGCTCAGCCGGAGCATCCTGATTTATAGCCTCTCTTTTCCGAGCAACTACTGCTTGCACAAAGGCTGGTGAAACATCCCCAATTAACAATTCATCATGAATGAGAGGGGGATGCCCAAACCTACATGATAGGTACCTAGCCACATTCTTTCCAAAACCTGATGAGTACCTAGCAGCATACTCAGAGAGAGAGATCCATCTTCCAAGATGGTACACTTTGCCGGCAATTTGAGTGTGCTGGTGATTCCCAGGACACAGGCGAGAGTCAAACGCTTGATGGAAAATCTTGGAGGAAGTGAACACATTTGTCCGTTTTCTCAGGAAGTTGTTTCCTCGAAGTTTATATTTGGACCATGGAGCAAGCAACTTACCAACTTCACACATATCAAAAGTGGTACAGAGAGTGCCCTCATACACATCTTTCAACTCTGGCTGATAAATTGCTTCGGACCCCTGAGGTTGTTCAAGATGAAACTGTCCCCCCATCTCCATTTGATGCCAATAGATCTGCTGACATAGCTTTAGATGGACCCTTTGTTGGTTCCTACCATCTAGAATTTTGTCTGCGGTGCTTTGGCTGCGGCCCATATTTCGTCGACTATAGTTGCCCCAATACTTGCAGTCAGGTGCTACCCAGATCTCTCGAGGTTTCTCCTCCATGATGATTTTCCACAACGCTTCTCTCCCTGAACTCGTTGCCAAATCGCCATCCTTTGCAGTGAATCTTCTGGCTTTAAGACCCAAACGCTGTGCATGTCCTGTGATTTGTGAGTCTTCTTCACAGTAAATTTCCAGAAGATCCAGTTTCCAAGGCGATTTCAAACTTGGGTGTCGATCACCATGCCAAATGGATTTCAACCTTGCCAGCTCCTTTTCGATTGAGAGCTGAGCACCCTCGATTTGCAGACATAGGTCATGAGTCAGAGCTGTGGTTGATTTCCAATTTGGACTTATTTTTAAGCTCCCACTCACTGGTCGTTCATCTCCTTCTTGAGCATGTCCATTTCGCGCTGAAGCAGCGCTAGACGCAGCATCTTCTCCTCCTTGGTTTGGGCATCCAATTCGGTCACCATTCCGATCTTCTCCTCCACCTCGTAGGCACTTCTTTTCAGATTGCCATGGCTGCTCTGACTGTTTGTCTCGGCCAAGGATGTGGTGGTCGCGGAGATCACTTCCCAATCTCGAGGGCGTCCATGACCTGATCCCATCACCGCTGACATGGCCTGATGCATCATCTCCTTTTCTTGCTGCAGTTTCTTCTCCTTGTACTGAATCTCGACCTGCATCCTCAGCTGAACATACTGGTGAAAGCTGAGAGCCCAAGCGGAGACCAGCTTTGGATTCGAGGCCATGAACATTGCATACTTGTGGTCCGAGACATAGGCTTCCGTGAGCCGATGTCCTTTCCACTTGCCCGCGGGAAACTTCATCTCTCCCCATTCTTGAAGACTCTGAACTCCAGGTGGTCGGCGAGCCTTCATGATAGGCCCCTGGTTGAAGCTCAGCTTGGGATCCTCCATCACTTCCAAGGGGAGGCTCGAGTTTGGGCCCAGATCTGCTGCATAGGGAGTTTCTCCCTCCTTCAGGAACATCTCCTTCGGCAACGCCATGGGTACAGGTATGATGAACTCTGTCAGGAGAAAGTTGGGAACGATGAGATTGAGGTTGAGCCACGGTAGCTGCTGCTGCATTCCGCTGCTGCTGCTGTTGTGAACAGTAAACCTCCCTACTTTGATTGAGTTGGTCATTGCATGCCATTGTGATCACTTCCTCAGAACATGGCCTACCTTCGAATTCGTTGGCTGCTTCAATCAGTTCTTTCAGCGCAACAGTGAAAAGACCCTTGCAGTTACGCTGAAGTTTGACACTCACCCCCCATTTGGGAATTTTCAGAATACACTTGCTGATTTGCAACTCAGCATCCAGTGCACTCAGAAATGCATTTGAAATGAGAAATGGTGTCCAACCCTGCACGACTTCCACTTTTAGCCAACGCCTTCCAAAAGGAACAAAAACAGCACCAAGACTCTTCAGGGTTCCATTATTACCAAAACGAAAAACAGTTTCAGATTTGTGCCAACGAACCAGTTTCTGATGATCAGTTGATAGAGTGGCCAGCAGGTCATGCACACGCTTTTCACCAATGACGGTTTTGCTGGCTCCTGTGTCAATTATCCCTGAACCCTTGTCTCCTAAGTCTTGAACCCTCTCACCATCAGTCTTCAGGGACCTGACGACACTGAAGCTTGCTTCACACGCCTTCTTGAACAGTTTTCGAAATTCCAATTTGGACAAAACCTTAGGATTTTGACCCTTGGAAACATGTTGATCATGCAAAATATGGGAAGTTGTAAAAATAAATTCATCATTAACATGGTGATGCACAGGTGGCAACCCCATACAAGGCGGCGACCCGGTTTGACAGGCCTGCCACATGGTGTCCTCCGTGTTCTCGGGGAGATGGTCGATCAGCTCAGAGGTGAAGAAGTTCTCCTCAGTGATGGTCACGTTGGCATCCGCAGCTGTCGAAGCACGATCCCTGTTTGGGCACTCTTGTTTCCAGTGTCCCTTTGCTCCGCAGATCCTGCAATGGGATGCTGCGATCCGATCAGCTAGAGTCTGCCTCTGTTTGCCAAAGCCCTTGCCCTTCTTGAACTTTCCTTTTCCCTTTGAGCTCTGTCGCAGTGGCCAAAAACCCCTGATCCGAGCTTTGTCCTTCAGCTTGGCTCTGGCCTCCTGGTATGCCGTGAAGGCCATCGACAACTCAGGAGACTCTTGGCAGACTTGGACGATGTTGTCCTCAAAGTCCTGGATGACCATTGCATTCTCGTCCCCTTCCTCCAAGAGCATTGCTAGGAAGGTTTCTTCATCTTGTTCTTCTTCATGTGTGTAGTTCACCTCTTCAGGCTCATCGTCGACCATGTTGACGGGGTAGACCTTCTTACGAGTTGCATCCCCTTGGTTCAACACCTTGGTGGAGAGGGCTCGCATGGCATTCTCCATTTTGCTTGGATCATATCCATCTGCCATAGATATCACCCTTTTTTTGTCCTCTGTGCTCAAACCACTCTGTCGGAGCATCACGAACGCCTTCATCTGCTTGATGGTCGTTTCTTCCCCAATCTCAGAGAAGGCCACGTTGACCCGATTGACATAGGACATTGCGGTTTCATCGGGCTTTTGCACTGTCCGATAGACAGCTTTGTCAAAAAGCTCATAGGTTTGAAGCTCAGACGACTCCTCCCATGTTGCCAAGGCTGACAGCAACACTTTGTATCCCTCAGGTTCTGTCAACTTTGTAGGGTCCAGGGCCTTCACCTGACTCCATGCAGTACCACGACATAGCATCGCTAGGCGTGGAGCTAGCATTGGCCTGTCCTTCACAGGACAGATTCCCCACAAGAACCTCACCTTGTCGGTGTATTCCTTCGCATTGTCTTGGACCGGGTCGAAGGATGGTAGTAGGTTCCACAAACTGTTTCCCCCTTTCTCCTCCGATCCAGCCGCTCCTCCATCGCCTTCCGGCATACTCACCAAGTTGCTACCTGCAACCCCAATCCCAGTGTCCTCACCAGGTATTCCCCTTTGTCAAAGAGGATCCCCTTCTAACCGTCAACCTCCAGTCCCTTCTCTGGCCACCAGGGACTCCGCTGCCAATGTTGATGGCACCCCGGCCCAACACCAAAGTCAGAAGCCCTGCTTCTCTTTCACCACGCCAATGGCTCAGATGCCCGCCACAGCCCGCCCCTTGACGAGCCGAGACACCATGGTTTGCATGGCAGAAATGGTTGGTGCAATGACTCACCGCTGGATGTTAATGGAAGCAACAGGAAACTGAGGGAGTTTCACAATATACACATAAATATTTACATATATATATATTTACATATATATATATTTACATATATATATAATACATATATATATATATATATCTATAACCACACCCCCACCCACCCACAGGGGGGGTTGGGGAACATAGCTCCTGTATACCCATAGCCCTATACCTATATACCCATACCCTTTTGGGGGGCGGACCTGGGAGGCTGCATCATATATATATATGTATATGTATACAGAGACATAAAAAAATATTGATGACCAAATATTCACAGTTGTGTTGGGATTTGTCGGAAAAAATAATTTCAGAATTCTTGAGCAGATGAAATTCCTTGAAAAAAATCTTTGTTACAACTCCTATTATCTCACAAGTATTTAGCATTTTGATGTGTGAATTGGGAGAGCTTTCGTCAACAAATGATAGGAAATTTGACTCTAGAAGGCAAATCTACACAGAGCCAGGATGACTATCAGTGGCCGTAGGGAGTGTTGACTATACCCTCCAGTTTTTACTAGCACAACATAGCAATGGAAGTCCATGGAGTTGGGGACACTAGAAATGCTGGATCTTCCAGATCTAAATTTCTGGAGGCTACCCTCTGGTAAACGTTTACAGTTTGTGAACTTGAAAATGGCCCAGTCGAAATAGTGGATTTACCCATTTTCATAGCATGGTGATTTTCCATAGTTGTTTGTAAACGTTGACCAGAGGGTATATCATATCCGTCATATCCACCATATATCCCAGTTAGCCGAGTTTCAAGCCGACCTTGTGAAAACGGATATGGAAAATCCCCATTTTCAATGGGTAAATCCACTATAAATCCCCATTTTCAATAGCTATTTTGACATAACCAGAGGGTAAATCCATGGGGTTCTCTGGGCATCGACCACTGAAGCGAGGTTCAGACGGGTGTAGCTAGCGATGCTTTCAACACTCAGCAGGAGAGCTATTCAGCAGAGGCGGGGGGATTTCTATGGTGACAAGGTGCCACAAAATGGTGACTTTAACCAGCAAAACCACAGATTTAAAGAACAACACTCAGGATTTATATGGGATTTGCGTTAGCTAAGTTGGTTTATAGCTAGCATTTCATACTGAGATCAATGGTAGATATGTCGAACTAGTTAGTGCTGGTTAGAAACTGACAAACAGGACTGGGGGTACCACCTCGTAGTGAATTCCTCCACTGATATTTCTCTTCGGCCAATGCATTTTGAAAAACTACTTTCTTGGATTAATTGGCACAATTCACCCGAACCATTATTGGTCTACATTTCGGACAACCTGAATGAATATACCATTCTTTATTTCCCCCTTTACAAACTACATATATTCGATTCAAAGAGCATATCCCAACAACACATAATCTCGATATATATATATATATGTATATGTATATGTATATGTATATGTATATGTATATATTATATATATACACTGTATACACATATTATTTTGCACGTATTTCAGCATGGTAGAAATCGCCTATACATCGAACAACTATTGAAAACGGACTTGGTTGATGGGAAATTCTGCAGGTTTTACCTCCTTATTAAAGAGCACAGAATTATTGGTTTCAACAGTGAAATGTCCCAACAGATTCAATCCATCGACTAGGAAAATCGTTTAGGTAATCATCGTTTTCCCCATTTAAATGGCCGTAAATTGGGTGTATACCCGGCTTCCCCACAAAATCAAATATATATATATTGTTGGACACACGCCGGTTTTGATTGATGATTGAAGCTGTGCCAACCTTAACATATTGAAGATTATCACCGTCCCCAACCCCGTACCCAACAAAATCTGCTGATTAAATTCATTTTCTTTGCTGGTTATGATGTTCTCATTTTTTGACTTATCATATTATTGTTTAGTGATACATTCCATCAGAATAAAACTCTACTATATAACTAGACTATATCACCAGGTTGCCTAGTTCATCATTTTCCCTTGGTAAATCCCATTTTTTTCCTGCACATTTTGCTCCCAGGGCATCTCTGGTGGCTTGCCGAGCGGCGGCACAGGTCTTATTTTGGATCTGACACTTTCACCGGACCTTGGGAAATCCCTATTTTCGTGGGAGAAACATCGGAGATCTTAGACGATAGGCTGGCAGCCAACAATGGCGATTCAAGCAACAGAATATGGAAAGGTGACCAGCAGAACAAGGGCATCCAATGAAGAAACAAATGTTCTATATCTATATATAATTATATATATACATAGTTATATATATATGATTATATGTATAATAATATAATTATATAATTATATAGTTATAATGATATAGTTATGATTATATAGAGTCATATATACGTATATCTATAATAATATTATATATGATTATATATATACATATACATATACATAGACGTAGGACGCATAAGATTATGGGGATAGAACAACCACTTCCACGGGGCAGGTGCCAGCGGTGAACTTCAATGAGGCACCATGCAGCTGGTTCGGTGCTAATCATCCGGCTCGAATCCTTGTGAAATTCCATGAAATTCCCATTTTTTGCTGGCGCCTAAATGGGGCCATTTCTACTGAACTTGCGGAATTTGACTTTTTTTACTTTTTTTTTAAAATAAACCCAAGTCTTGTGGGTTAAATCACAATTTTTGTCCACTTTTGGCAGCAGAAATAGTTGTTCCAACCTATCATACCTGCATAGCCACATGGGAAACAATTGATGCTTTTACTTCCAAATTTAGCCAATTCACCCCTTGGCATCTGGGGTCTTCGGAGCAACCCTGTTAAATTTGGTATATCATATAAAGTTGATGCAAGTTGGTTATACCATGAAATATCCAGGTAACTATCTCATGAAACATCCAGGTAACTATCTCATTAAACATCCCAGTAACTATCCCATTAAATACCCTCTGGTAAACTAACATAGCTATGGAAAATCACCATTTTTTATGGGAAACTCCACTATAAATGGTCATGTTCAATAGCTATGTTAAATTACCAGAGGGTATCTCCCGTTAACATATCCCATTTTGATATCCCAGGAAACATCCCAGTTGGTGATTTTTCGCCAACTTCCCAGCTCACGACCATTTCGACAAGGCCAACTGGCTCGAAGAAGTGTGGAAAAAACACGCCATGGATTGTCCACACAAAAGCGGAAAATCCATGGTGAAACTGGACTTAAAGATGATTGTATTGTATATTGTGGACTTTTTCTTTGTGCGGATGTTTCATCTAACTCAGATTCAAGATGATTCTCTCTCTCTCTATATATATATATATACACACACATACATACACATACATATACACACACATCAGCAAGTATACTGTATGTTTTCAGGAAGGTTACTGACAATGATGGGCATATTTCACCAGTTGCCGATAGATCGCCGAAGCTTGGGTCCTTTGTACCTGGAAAAATCCTCGTGAAGCGCGATGGCGCTGCAAAGCCAATGTGTGGCCCATCATTTTTCTGGAAGAACATCCCCAACAAAAATCGAAGCCCAAATCGCTCCAAAACAATGGATTCAATGGAGCTTTTATGTCAAAATTGGCCTTACAAAACCTGGTGATTTCCGGCGAAATGGGCTGCGCTGCTCCAAGTGGGGCCAAGACCTATGAGATCTCTGGTGGCTTGCAGGCACGCGCGCGAATGCCAGGTTCTCAACCCAGCAAAATAGGGGATTCAACCAACAGTGAACTAGCATAGCCATGGAAACATATGGAAACCACAATTTTTAAGAGGTAAATATGGGCAACTCATCTATAAATTGGCAGTTTTCGATATGTTACAGAGGTCAGCCCAATAGACTGAATCTAAATGTGTCTTAATCCCTTCCCCATCATGCTATTTCTGAATATCATCTCTTTATGAAACCCTGGTCTAGTACTAAATCTCTTGAGGTTTGGGGGCCCATTTATTTTAAAAAGGGGGAGTATCCGTGTCAGCGGCAGCTACATGAGCCCTCAAAATGCAGAGACATGGAAGAGAAAGCAAGGGAGATGACTGATACAATGGATTGGTTTTGTTGGGGAAATCTACAGGAAACCATAGATTTTCCCATTAAATGTGGGGCTTTCCTGTAAAATTTCCCTTAAACCAATCCCTTAAACCAATCCATTGACTGATACAATGGGGAAGCAGCCCCAGCAAATTCAGATTGCAGCAGCGATATCTGGCTTGCAGGATCCAAGAAATGTTCAGCCGATAGGTTTGACCCATGTGGTGGTACAACATGATACAACCAGCATAAGGCCAACGGATTCCTCGATTTAACGCTTAAACGGTCGGAATTGAGGTGGTTTTTGCCTCCGGTACCTAGCAATGGAACATCCACCATTTACATCTATAGTTAGTTTTTTTTGACTAAAGAGATGCGGGTTTCCAAGCCAGAAAGCTTTGTTTGCCAGACGCTATAGCCACTTAATTCTAATTTTGAACTAGTTTACATCCCACATTTTTTGATGTCCATGTGTGTCGCATACAGAATATACAATGATTCTATAAATTATATATCCAGGTAAATGAGGAGTCAAATGCGTTTTTCCAGACCGCCCCCTCTACCCCTCGATTTTCTGGTTGCCCCACAAGTTGGATGGGCTCTCCCTGGTAGGTGAAGGAACTGGCAGACGAGGTCCAGGTGACCATCAACAACAGCAGCGCGGTGAAGAAATGCCTCTCGGAAGTGGAAGAGATGGGAACAAATCAATGGGGATTTTCATGGCAATTTAACCATCAAACATGCGGATGTGATGGGATATATGCCTCTAAATACATGTATATAAATCCAATAGTTGGGGGGATGAAGACCCATAGATCCCAGCTATTTTTGGGTTAGCGTACCAGGGTTTTGACTCATGCCCATATATCAACCAATTGAATCGTTCTGGAAGCGGTAGGAAAATGAGGAGATCAAGTTGCAATGCTTTGGAGGGTGGCTTCAAAATACTTGAATTTTTCAGGCCCAGGATGATCCCTTTGACTTTGGGGAGTTGAGACCAGCCACCAGAAGCCCAGATCCAGCAGAGCCCTGAGGTTTTACGCTGACCTTCACGAACTGCCGAAATGTGACCTTTCCGGAGGCTCGAAATCGAGCGATGCCTCAGTCTTTTTGGAGGAACTTTCTGGGGATCAAAACGCGATGACATACCATGTTTTTTGGGGTGATGAACATTTATAAATCTCAGCTATTTCATGGGCTTCTCGGGGTTTTGACCATAGCAAAAAATGATTCCTCACGCGACCAGTGCTGAAATCGTGAAAAAAATGATGTACAGCTTTGATGTCTTGAAAAGTCAGGTCTGTTCGAACTTGGGTCTCCACCCGAATTTTGATGGTTCCCCCCAGTTTCCCTTCCGAAAACCCATCTTGAAACCCGCTTAGTTGGAGACACTCCCGATGCTTTGCTGATGAATCTTGCCAATGCTTATATTCTTCACCTGGCATGTTGAATCTGTTTTTGGTTGTGACAAACTGTACTGAGACAGAAAAAAACACCTGAGGGCGGTGGACTCCCCATCTCTTTTCCTGCCAACATCTTTTCTCTTTTTCTCCTCAGTTTTGCTGGTCATTTGGTGTTTCTCCAAAAAAAGGGGCGACATTCGAGAACTTGACCCGACTCGAAATCAGTTTCCCCCCAGTTTTTCCATAGAAATTTCCCTTGAAAACTGGCTGCCAGGGCAATCCGAGCAGCATCACCTTGGAACCCGGGCAGCAGGTGACCAAGATCTTGGCGCCTGGGACCTGATTGAAACCCATGGTTTTTCCATGGGAAAATCATGGGACAACGCCAGAAATGCACGGAGGGTGCCATGGGTTTGATGGCTGGGAGAATCATCGAACTCTAGGATGGAATTGGATGGAACAAATTAGGGGGATTGACTGACTGATGACACCGTGGCTCGGGGATGTGGAGATTTTTGATCATGACGACTCACGTCGTTTTCCATCCGGAACGCTGGAACACTGGAACTATGGTTAGAGATTCGGGGAATCATCCGCAATGATACCAGCTATTCTCAGGTCAGCTATTCAGGTTAGTGAATTACCAGAATTCAGCCAGATTTATCTGGATGAACGGTGATCCAAGCATGAAAACATGGGCATTTGCCAGGAAAAGATGGGGAATTCATACACCAACATGGAGAAACATCGATTCTTCAATCAACAGATGGAAGATTTAAACCATAAAAATTGGGATTCATGTGGATTAATAGGGATGAATGGCGATTTAGACATCAACATGGGGATTCAACGATTGAAAGATGGAGGAATTTACCATCAAGAACATGGGATTTACCATTTTTGTAGTTTTTTTTCCTGAGTTAAATATGGTTCAAACTCTGGGGATTTCACTCTGAAAACCAAAAAAAAAGGGAGACTTACTATGATTTACCATCCAAAATGATGGGGAAGTTCAGCCACCATGGAGAAACACACGGCAATCTAATGGAAATATGGTGAAGAAATGAAGGACATCGTGGCGAAAAAGTGGTGAAAGAATGGTGAGCCAGGGAATGGAGATGGGTTATGATTTATCTATGGTATTCTATGGTCAAACCAGCTAAAATGACATCAACAACTCTTACATGGTACTCGAGATTGGACGAGTCTAACTGGTTGTTACAAGCTGTACCTGCTGGCTGTGATATTACTCTCTAATCAAACATCCCAAACGTGGCAATGGAAAATCCCAGCATTTACAGATGATTTTCCCAATTCAACCTATACTTTTAGGAGATTTTCCATTGCCATGTTTGTTGACCACAAGGTACTTCTGTTTTTTTGTTTTGTTTTTTTTGTGTGTGCGTGTGTGTGTGTGTCATATTGGGTCTTGGCGGGCAAAGCGAAGGTCAGGAGAACCTCCCCAAAAAAAGGGTATTGGAAGCCACACCTTGGCGAAGGTTTGCAAGGCCGACAGCGGCGCCATTTGGAATTGGAACTACAGAGACTTGAAAAAAACGGTGTGGATATGGGCAGTCGCCGAGAAAATATGGGTGTATGGGTGAACAACCAATTTTATAATATGTTTCTCTTACATTCTGAGAGATTTTAAATTTGAGATGATTTCATGACAGGATTGTCCACCAAGTGGCGACCAGGGTCTTTGCCATGAAAAGTCGATTCAATGCTCTAATTGAACTCGATGGATTTGAACCGGTACAGCAATTCGAAGACCTCCTCACCTTCTGGTAGCCATAGGACACCAACAAGACGTAGACGATCTTCCATTTCAATTTGCCACTGTACTGTACTATATTCATCAGAAGTAGAACGATCAATAACACATATAATAACAATTTTGAAAACTATCAGTAGGAATTATCTGTAATGGTTTTACTGTTGATCTTCCACTTTTTAAATCTACTGATAATCATCCCAACAATAATCTAACCCAAGTATATCACCAGAAATGGGTGGCCATTAACCATCAACTTGGGGATTTTTATTGGGTTACCTCTGGTAATTAAACGTGGCAATGGACAATTCGCTATAGCTGGTGATTATAATGGGAAACACATATATAAAAATGGGGGATTATTACCAACGATAATCGCTGTGAACTCACTGCAGTCTACAGCAATTCTTGATACAGCTGGAGACTCTTGGTGAACTATTCCCATGAGCATATCGACTCTGCTACCAATGCTGAGTCTACAGAGGTAGGGAGTGAGTTTTCTCTGCGACGAGGAATATTCCCATGATCATATCCCATCATAATCATGATCGAAGGAAGTTTAGAAGTCAAACTTCCGACAATATGGACAGATGAAAAGGAGGTTACACCTACAGTAGATATACTGTATGTAAATATCAACATATATACATATATATGTGTGTGTAACATCTGAATAGATGTAAAACTTCTCTCTCTTTTTTCTTCCTTCCGTCCTCTCCCCTTCTAATAATAACAATAATGCAGGGGGACAGAGCTCTCTGATGCTACTCGTCTAGGCTGGTTTGCACGTTACAGGACTCAGTTCCTGACGGATCACTATAATGATCCATTCTTATCTAGTGTGATTTCCATGGTGACTCCGACATGGTGCCATGGGGCCAATTGAGGCAACCCTTTTTAGGGTGACTGACGACTGTCCTGACTTCCGAATTCACACATTTTAATCTGGTAATTCGATTAAGAAAAGCGAAACAGCTGGCCTTACCGTTTTCCAGCCTTTTAGGGTTGTCCCGCTGGTCCGTTGGTCCCAGGGTTCCTCGCCAAAATGCCTGTCTATCGGAGTGAAGCCGTTCTGAACTTCCTGAAACCTCGTTTTTTACTGCAGTTTTTGCTTTCACAGTGACAGATTACTCATGACATGACATGAACGACAGGCAGGCACACGACTTTCAGGTGTGGTCTTTTTTCTTTTGATGGTTGTCTGGTGAGGTCAAACATATTGTGCACCTAATTCGATGGAACTTGAACAGCCGTTATATGCCCTTGTGGCTGACTTGAACACGGGCCCGGAGGGGCATAACGCACGACTCTTAGGTATTTAGGAACTGAGTTCTGTGTTTAAACTAATTGTTTTGGTTCCTTTTGTTTACCATCAACTAGTCCCCCATTTGGTCCCTAATTCTCCCTGCGTGCCTCTCCGTAATGTGTCGTGGGGGTTTAGGTGTGTGCTCTGTTTTGGTCAGGTCCGTTTCGCCGTGTAGGTTGGTTTTGGAGGTCCGTCTGTTCCCCTGCCCCCTGCGCTGTTTTGGCCCTTTGCCCGTCGATTGTGTCCGCTTTTTTCTTCCTTTTGCCTTTCAGGGTTGACCCGGCTCCGGCCGGGATGTAAAACTTCTCTCTCTTTTTTCTTCCTTCCGTCCTCTCCCCTTCTAATAATAACAATAATGCAGGGGGACAGAGCTCTCTGATGCTACTCTGTCCAACGAAGCTATGCATCAGAGAGGGAAGCATCCATTGGCCATGGACGTGTACCTGCAAACATGTCTAATGGTCTAGGCTGGTTTGCACGTTACAGGACTCAGTTCCTGACGGATCACTATAATGATCCATTCTTATCTAGTGTGTGTGTGTAACATCTAAATAGATGTAAAACTTCTCTCTTTTTCTTCCTTCTGTCCTCTCCCTTTTTTATTGTAATACCAATGCAGGGGGCACGGCGCCATTTGTCCTAGCCGTGCCAACGAAGCTGTGGACATTTGGTGGATGAGATACTGGACGCAGTATCTTGTACCTGCATGTGGTGATTCTATCCGTCTCGCCACGAAATTCAACCGTAGTGACGCACCTGGATGCTGTTGCATAGCTGGTGGTCACATCATTTGGTGATTCTGTCCGTCTCGCCAAGAAAAAGGAACCGTAGTGACGCACCTGGATGCTGTTGCATAGCTGGTGGTCACATCATTTTGGTGATTCTTTCCGTCTCGCCACAAAATGGAACCGTTTTCACAGTGTCTGTCAGGCGTCGTAGGTTAATTTGTTTCTCTTCTAATTTGCATGTTACAGGACTCAGTTCCTGACGGATCACTATAATGATCCATTCTTGTCTAGTGTGATTCCTATGGTGACTCCGACAAGGTGCCATAGGGCCAAGTGAGGCAACCCCTTTGTGGGTGACTGTCGACTGACTTGACTTCCGAATTCACACATTTTAACTTGGTAATTCGTTTAAGTAAAGTTCAACAGTTGGCCTTACTGTTATGCACCTTTTGAGAAGTCCCGCGGATCCGGCTGTCCCTTGAAATCCTCTGGAAATGCTTCTCTACCGCAAAGCCGTTCCGAACTGCCAGAAACTTCATTTTTTGCCACTGCAGCTTGAGTTTTGAAGTTCAACATGACATGTGCGACGACAGGCAACAGGCATGTCCTTTTCCTGCAGGTGTGGTCTCTTTGGTTTTTGGTGAGGTCAAACATGTTGTGCACTTAATTCGTTGGAATTTGAACAGCCGTTTATGCCATTGGGGCAAGACTTGACCACGGTCCCGGCAAGGGAATAACGCACGACTCTTAGGTATATAGGAACTGAGTTCTGTTGTTTAATTAATTGTTTTGGCTTCTTGTTTGTCATCAACTAGTCCCCCATTTGGTCCCGAATTCTCCCCGCGTGCCTCTCCGTAATGTGTCGTGGGGTTTAGGTGTGTGCGCGGGGAGTGCGGCTGGGACCCGGAATGAACATGAAGAATCAATTATATAATTATTCGCAAAAGGCAACTTGCATCTTCCATGTAACGAGACATATCCATCCCACTTGCGAAATGCAATCCAGGTGTTTCAAACCATTATGATTATAAGCATTGGTGTGCAACTTCAAGACTGCTCATTTGAAATTCATATTGTTCATGAGAGATGTTAGGAGGTCAGGGCGCTCATTTCCTGATAGGGGTTGCATTTTGGAGCATCAGATCTGTAGGTTTTCTAAGATGATTTTGCGTGACAGGTGCAGCACTTCGTATGACCTGGCATCAATTTTTCGTGGCAGGCGCAGTACTTTAGAGAGGTGGAGTAGAAAAATCCCAAAACGCATTGGTACGAGGCTGTCAGCGCTGCACTCACCTTTCCATTTTTGAAGGAAGTCTCGCGAAATGGTTTTGTTCTTGATGTTGTCAAGTTCAAAAATTGAAGAAGTCTCGCAGAATTGCTTTGTTTTGGATGTTGTCAAGTGCGTAGTGGCAGTGCTGTTTTGGGGCGAAACCACATCTTTGTGGTGGCGCTGGGCCAGAGACGCAGTCGGCGAGACGGAAGTGCTGGCCAGGCTCCACGTCCCAGGCGGGCACACCCGTACCTTCCTGGTCCACCTCGCGTGGGGCTGCCCGACGGCAGCGAGGGCGAGGACGAGGACGGACAAGAGCCGGACGTGCCTGATGACGACCCAGATATCCCAGATGAAGACATCCCTGGGATTCTGGCTGGCCTCGACGAGCTCCTAGCCGTCTTGGCGAACATCCATGCCGAGTGAAGGATTGGGATCCGACCGGATCCCGACGAGGGGTGTTGTTCTTTTTTTCTCCGGGGACCCGGCCCCAAAACCATTCCGGGTGGGACGTTGGAATCTTTAATCCCAAAGTAACGCGCATCCTGGAGTTCAGCTACCTGATACCTGCAAAAAAGTGCTGCAGAGCTTGTGCTTTGTCACTGTCGCACGGTGAGGAGACAGAACCCCAGAGAGAGAGAGAGAGAGAGAGAGAGAGGGAGAGAGACGGAGACGGGAGAGAGAGAGAGAGAGGGCCGGAGGGATGAGGGGAGCGGGGAGAGGGACTCGAGAGGGGAGAGGGAGAGGGAGAGGCGAGAGGACGAGGGAGAGGGATCGGGGAGAGAGAGATCCGGATGAGAGGGAAGAGAGATGAGGGGAGGGGGAGACGGGGGGGGGGGGGGGGCTGGGGGGGGGGGGGGGGGGGGGTGGGGGAGCGGGGGTGGGGGGGGGGTGGGAGGGTAGATGATGAGAGGTGGATGGGGAGAGAGAGGGAGAGAGAGGGAGAGGGTAGAGAGAGGGGAGAGAGAGAGAGAGAGAGAGAAAGAGAAAGAGAACAAGACAGAGAGACACAGAGAGAGAGAGAGAGAGCGACGCGGCTCCTGCCAGGCCTGGAAGCGGCCGCGGCAAGCGTCGGGGCCTTAGTACGGAGGAAGAGTATCCCTACTGGGGAAGTGGTACCTCCTTAAAAAAATCCACGAAGGCGACGACCCGGGTACCTCCAGGGTGGTGTGGAAACCCCGGGATCGGCGCTGGAAACTTCCGGTGTCAAATACGGGTTTTGGGACAACTTTCTCCGGAACTTCTCCGGAACCCTGTTGAACCTGACCTGGCTCTGCACCAAAGCCTCCCATAGACCATCTTGCAAATTCGGTTGGAGCACGATCCGACTTCCAAAGCTGTTTCAAAGAAAATATTGCAAAGCCAGCAGCATGTTCATGCAGATCACTGGATGAAACCCTTTTTTGTTTGGCTGAGCGTTTTTCCCAGCGATGTCACTCCACTTTCTCCTTTTCGGCCTTGCAC